TGTAATCCCAGCTACTCAGGCGGCTGAGACAGGAGAACTGCCTGAACCCAGGAGGCGGAGGTTGCGGTGAGCCAAGATCGTGCCATTGCACTCCAGCCTGGGTAACAACAGCGAAACTCCGTCTCAAAAAAAAAAAAAAAAAAAAAAAAACATGGCCAAAATGAAATAAGAAAGGAAACTGAATGTAAATGTTTTTAAAGGCCTTGCATTATTTACTGCATTATCTAGAAAAAGGGTGAAAGTCTCGATACTACACTGCAATAAATCAAGAATATATATTAAAATTTAAGTAAGCACTAAAGGAATAGTACAATAATAAATAATCTCAAGCTAAAAAAAGAAAAAGAAAAAAATTTTTTAATCAATTCAAGATAAAGCTAAAAAAATTAAAAATGAACATAGAAAAGGTGAAGACAAATCGATTTTGAAAGTTTTTTATTTTTTTTTTAAACAGAGTCTTGATCTGTTGCCCAGACTAGAGAGCAGTGGCATAATCCTGGCTCACTGCAACCTCCACCTCCCAGGTTAAAGTGATTCTTGTGCCTCAGCCTCCTGAGTAGCTGGGACCACAGGCACACACCACCACGCTCAGCTCAGCTAATTGTCATAATATGGGCAACAGGAAAATACACAAAAAACATCTAGCTCATACATATATACCTAATCTTCATAAATCTTAGCCTGCACATCTATTCAATTCTTTTTCCATTGTGACTGACTTCAAAATCTTATTTCACCTTACCTTATCTTACCACAGATACACCAATGGACATTAAATATACCAAAACCAAACAAAAAGAAACAAGAACAAAAAACCCAGAGAGCCAAACGACTTATAAATACTGCATTAATTCCATAATAAAATATTAGCCAGGAGAGTGGCTCACAACTGTAATCCCAGCACTTTGGGAGGCTGAGGCAGGAAGATCACTTAAGCCTTGGACTTCAAGACCAGCCTGGGCAACATGGCAAAACTTCATCTCTACCAAAAAAACACAAAAACTAGCTGGGCATGGTGGCACATGCTGCAGTCCCAGTTACTTGGGAGGCTGAAGTGGGAGAATCGCTTGAGCCTGGAAGGCAGAGGTTGCAGTGAGCTGAGACTGCTGCTCTACTGCACTCCAGCCTAGGTGACAGAGCGAAACCCCATCTTGGGAAAAGGAAATAATAATAATTTGCCATCACTGATCTACGTAACATTACTAACAGCAAAACTAATACATTAAGAAGGTTAAAAATGATATTCTTTCATTTATTTCATTTAAAATGTTAGTTTAAATTCTTAATTCACTAGCTGACTCAACAAAAGGGAAATTCTAGGATAAAACTGACTTTTTCTACACTCATATCAATGTCAGCAGGATACAAGTGCAATGTGTACCTCCATCACAGAATAATTAAATAATCTGTTTAGGTCGGGCGCGGTGGCTCAAGCCTGTAATCCCAGCACTTTGGGAGGCCGAGGCGGGTGGATCACAAGGTCAAGAGATCGAGACCATCCTGGTCAACATAGTGAAACCCCGTCTCTACTAAAAATACAAAAAATTAGCTGGGCATGGTGGCACGTGCCTGTAATCCAGCTACACAGGAGGCTGAGGCAGGAGAATTGCCTGAACCCAGGAGGCGGAGGCAACGTTGCGGTGAGCCGAGATCGCGCCATTGCACTCCAGCCTGGGTAATAAGAGCGAAACTCCGTCTCAAAAGAAAAAAAAAAAATAATAATAATAATAATAATAATAATCTGTTTAGAGCAAAGAACACTTAAGAAAACAAGACATGAAACTCCAGAGTAACTCTTGATCTTTCTGTAAGCAATGAAAACTACCTGCTCCTTATGGCAGATTTTTATTTTATGGTGGATTGCTACTACAGTTTTGTGAGAGGCGGTCCAAACTCTTCAAAGAGAAAATGTAATCAAATGAAACCGAGACTATCACGATATTACAAAGCATCTCTGTAAGTAAATCGAAGAATATTTCATTTAACATTTAATCCCAGTCTTACAGCTATTGAAACTAACAAGTAATCCATTACAGAGTTATAAAAGTGGACACCGAAGTGTGTCAAACGTCACTTCCAGGTCTGGTGTGGATACAGACCAGTAGAATGACTCCCCTTCTCAAATGGCTATGGAACAAAGCTGAACTGCTTCATTCAGATGATCCAAGAACAGTGCCAGGAGACTTCTCTATGTAACCAACAGTGACTGTTCATGGGCCAAGGGGGGAACTCATGCAGAAGCATCTTATTTAACCTTCCCAATAATCTCTTCAGCAACTGTGAACAAGCTCTTCTCGCACCCTGAAAGTTTCCCGCCCACCCGCCTCTGGTTTTCAAACAGCTATCTACTCATCCTTCAGGTCTTACAGGTCGCTTCCTCACAGAACTTGCTCCAACTCCCCCAAAACAAGTTAGGTTCCTTAGGTATGGGTTTCACAGCTCCCTGTACTTCACATCAAAGGACTCATCCCACATGTTGTTGAAAACAAAATCCTGGGGTACACAGAAGGCACTCAAGAAATAATGGTTGGTTTATTCAACTTATTCAAGAAATAACGGTTGGTTTATTCATGTGAATTTACAATCCTCCCCAATTTTACAAAGAAATTAGCATTTAAAAGTTGAGTCATTTGCATGAGGTGAAACAACCTGAAACTGGCATAGACCAGCTGAGAATCCAAGCCTCTGTGGTTCCAATTCCCATGCGATCATCTCATGTACCATATGGACATGTGCTACGAGTTGGACTCCTTTCCAATTATTGTTCTTGTAGTGACTTCCACGGTAAACACAGAAGCCACCTTTTCTTTTTTCTTTTTTTTTTTTTTTTTTTTTTTTTTTTGAGACGGAGTTTCGCTCTTGTTACCCAGGCTGGAGTGCAATGGCATGATCTCAGCTCACCGCAAGCTCCACCTCCTGGGTTCAGGCAATTCTCCTGCCTCAGCCTCCTGAGTAGCTGGGACTACAGGCACGCGCCACCATGCCCAGCTAATTTTTTTTTTTGTATTTTTAGTAGAGACAGGGTTTCACCATGTTGACCAGGATGGTCTCGATCTCCTGACCTCGTGATCCACCCGCCTCGGCCTCCCAAAGTGCTGGGATTACAGGCTTGAGCCACCGCGCCCGGCAGAAGCCACCTTTTCAAGGGAAAAAAATTAGTCTCTCAATATAATAAAATCATATCTGACAATGGACTATGCTTTTCTTTTTTTTTTTCTTTTCCTTGAGACAGAGTCACTCTGCTGCCCAGGCTGGAGTGCAGTGGGTGATCTCCACTCACCGCAACCTTCGCCTTCCAGGCTCAAGCAATTCTCCTGCCTCAGCCTCCCAGTGCGCCACTACCACTCGACCAATTTTTATATTTTTAGTAGAGACAAGGGTTTCAGCATATTGGCCAGGCTGGTCTTGAACTCCTGATCTCAAATGATCCACCCAATTCAGCCTCCCAAAGTGCTGAGACTACAGGCATGAGCCACTGCAACCCATGGACTATGCTTTTTAAAAATCACAGTGAAAGAACAAACTATAACTTTCTGGTAATTAGAGGTCTGCATTCCACGAGTTACAAAATAAGAATGGTTACAGTGAAACTGTGAACATAAACCAGAATTGCAATCACTTGTCTCTCTCTCTACCTGAAGTAGCAATCCTCATACAGCTCTCCTATTCTACTACACAGTTTCTAATCAGAGTAATTTTGTTTTTCAATTTGCTACTAGCTTGAACTCATTGGCCTCTTTTTCATCCATCTTAGCTGGCTACAAAATGTAATAGGAACTTGGCACAGATGTGCACATGGTGGCAAAGATGGACCAAGACAACCCTTGCTTGGCACTGAAGACTCAGATTGGATCTGCTGGGATGGGTAGTTCTCTTCGTTCCCTGTAATACTAGAGAATGATCAATTAACAGCACCAGCGGCCACGGTGGCTCATGTGAGTAAACCCAACAGTGGGAGGCCGAGGTGGGCGGATCACCTGAGGTTGGGAGTCCAAGACCAGCCTGATCAACATGGAGAAACCACGCCTCTACTAAAAATATAAAATTAGCCAGGCATGGTGGCATGTGCCTGTAATCCCAGCTACTCAGGAGGCTGAGGCAGGACAATTGCTTGCACGTGGGAGGCGGAGGTTGCCATGAGCCAAGATCATGCTACTGCACTCCAGGCTGGGCAACAAGAGCGAACCTCTGTCTCAAAAAAAAAAAAAAAAAAAAAAACACCAAATAGTGCCAAATCTGACACTTCTACTTTTCTACTTACTGGCTTGTTTAACCAAAGTCAGTCTCCAAGAGAAGCTATTCGGATGTCAAAAAATTATTAAAACTGGTAGTGGACTAGTCTTACCAGAAACAAGTACAACAGAGAATCTGACTGCATAGCTAAAAACTAAGTAGGCACCAAAACTGAGGCTCAGTGCCCATATTGTTAATGTTTGGCAAATGTTTCTTTGATTGCCTTTTTAACAACTCATTAATTCTTTAAATACATAATGAGCAAAGGAATTTCTGTTAACTAAGGATGCCTGTACTTGCAATTAGGATTTCTTCCTTTAAAAGTTAACTCATACTTTCATTAATATATACTTTTTTTCTATTTGGACATATTTTAATTGCCTATGTAGAATACAAGGCATCAACATCCATTTTAAGTAACGAACTGTACCATGTTTACAAACGTTATTATAAAAGAATGGCAAACCAGGAAATATTTTTGTTAACTTTAGGGTCTGACCGAATCAGAAATAAAAGCAAATAAACCACTGTTCACTTGCTGCTAATTTATTCTTATTAAGATGACTTCAGGAAAGAAAAAAGAACACTGACTTCCCCCTGAAGGAACTTCCCAGAGACTCCATACAGGAGGGAGTTGGCCAGGGTGATCTCTGAAGTTGTGCGCAAGTTTTCTGAGCTATGAAATATTAAATAATTACCTCAAAGAGGTAATTATTTTTATAAAAGGATTACTATAGGATTGAAACCATTTTCCTCCAACAAGTAACATGCTGAAGACGGCGTCCTCACTCCCCCCCACCCCACCCCCCGCATTTGTCTCGCATTATTTCCAAAGACTGGGTATGACCCCAATTCCACAAGCCGTCCCAGTCCAAAGGAAGCATGCGTAAGTCTACTGTCTAAAAAGCATCTATCCGACGATTAAATTTTGGGAAATAAAGAGATATTGGTGGGGGGTGGGGAGAGACAACATTTTCAAATTACAGAAACGTGCACCCATGGATTCATACACTTCCCGCACTTTCTGGCAGTAAAACACCTGCGAGGAACCGTTCTCACGCATTACAAACGCCGCACCAGCTTAGGCTTGTGAGCGCCAAACTATTTTGCAAACTTTGCAAAGGCGCACGGATTTCCAAGACTTGCAAATCCCTCATTCGCCCCATCCTCCCCTCGCCTGGTGGAAACAAAGTTCCGCGGCATCAAGGCAGTCATTCAAAGGCACGAAGTTTGCCCGGGTCCTGCCCACTGGGGCTCGGGAGACGCGCCCGGCCGGGACCGCGGCTCGCTCCGGGAGGCCGGCACCGGGTTCCACCTACGGCCCTCCCCGCACCCCGCGCGGCGCCCCCCGCCCGCCCAGCGCCCCGCGCCCCCCAGGCTCCGGGCTCAGGGACAGAGGGGCGGGCCCCGCACGGCGCTCGAGCCGCCCCCCAGGGCCGAGCCGCGAGCCGCAGCCGCGTCCCCTCCTCCCGGGGCCGGGAATGGCGGCGTCCGGCTCCCCAGGGCCAACTCCTAGTCCCAGCCCGGGGAGGACGCCCGGGGAGCCCGCCGCCACCGGCCCCTCGCGGCGGGAGCTGAGAAATGGAAGTTACCTCAGGACGGTCCCGTCTGCGAAGCTGGGGGCGGCGCGCAGAGCGGGCGGTCCCGGGCGGCCGAGCAGGTCCGGCGCGGCGGCGGCGGCGGCGGCTACCGCAGTGCCCTCCGCCCCATTGTTTCCCTTCCAAGAGGATCCCGGCGAAGCCGAGCCCGGGAACCAGGAAGTTCCCCGGCGCGACACCTCCTGCCGCCGCTATGGAAACGGCCCCCGCCTCCCAGGGCGGCTCGCCCGGGACCCCGCCTCCGCGCCGCCGGCCCCGCCCGCCTCACCGGCCGCCGCCAAACGACGCCGCAGCGGCCGCAGCCGCCGCCATCTTGGCGCGGCCCCGGGCGGCCCCTTCCCGGCGGCACGTGCGCGCCGCTCCCGCGCTCCCGCCGTGCGCGCTCCCGCCCGCCTCGGAAACGCGCGTCCAGGACTGCAGGTGCTTAGAGCCCCTCGGCCGGAAGCAGGCGCGGGAGGCCCAGGACCCAGAGCAGGGCTTCGAGGCACGCAAACGAGCGGCACTGGCGTCTCCAGCAGGCAGATCAGAGGATGGCAGAGACGTGGGGAGGTCAGCAGAGTACGGGGCGAGAGCATGGTCTCTGGAGCCAGGCTGGCTTTTTTCTTCCTTTCTGACTCACCTGCTTACCAGGTGTCAGACCTTGGACGCTTTTCTCTGTACCTCAGTTTACTTCATCTGTAAACTGGGATGACAATAGGATCTGCCTCATGGGGCTGTCCTGGAACAAACGGGTGCTTGGTAGTAAGTGCAAAGCAAGCATCTGCTCAATAAAATGCCATTGGTACTGACACAGGTCACATTGCTGTCATTTTTTTCAGGGACTTAGGCTAAGTGTTCATATCAGCACTACTTTAAGTAGGCTACTGTGTAGATCCCATTGCTGCTTCAAGCTTCTCAAATGTTCATCACTGTCCCATCTTTCTGTAGGTCAGCTTTCCTTTTTTACATCGTGGAAATTGTCAAGAGTTTTAATCTCCAAAGCCTCCCATTAAGGGGTGCCATAAAAAGATGAATGATGTCAACTTCCCAAAACCGTAATTAGCTGACAGTTAAATGATTTATTCAATCAAAGCTAGAAAAGTTAGGGTGTGCAAGTAACTAAAAGGCTTCCTGTCCTTGAGTCCAGGAACTAGAATTACTGAAGCTGGCAATCTGCACTGTGGGTTTTATCTCTCTTTTCCAGCTAGTGAAAACTGACACGAAGAAACTGAATGTTGTGCCCAATATCTCATAGGTGGAAGGAGGAGGCAGGGTCACAGGCTCTTCGCTAGTACCCAAGCTTTAAGAACTGTGTCTCCAATTAGGCTTTAGTTGGTCTCCAAGCCTCTTTCTAGCTCTCACGTATTGTAATCTTAATGACAGGGATACCCAGCAATACAGTCTGGGAAATTCATCCTTAGGCAATTCCGTCATTGTGTGAACATCATAGAGTATATTTACACAAACCTAGATGGTAGAGCCTCCTACACAGCTAGTCCATAAGGTATGACTTACTGCTCCTAGGCTACAAACCTGTTCAGCATGTGACTATACTGAACACTGTAGGCAAGTGCAACACAATGGGAAGAATTTGTGTATTTCAACATAGACAAGGAAACACATTGGGCTATAATGTTACCATGGCTATGACATCGCTAGGCCACAGGAATTTCTCAGCTCCATGATAACCTTAAGGACCACCAATGTATATGTAGTCCATCGTTGAGGCACATGACTGTGTATACACTGTATAAGAAAATACAAGTGTCTACTTCCCTTTGGGGCTTCTTTCATTCGTTTAAACCGGGTTTGTAAAGACTAGCGTTAGTTTTTATGATCCTGATACAAAAATGGCATAACTCATTTAATATATGAATTGAGGGGCTAAAAGCACACCAGAGTTAGAAAAGAAATAGGAAATCTTTTCAACAACCAAATACTTCTCCAAAAGTTACAGGATTCCCAGGTTAGAAATCATCCAGTTTGGGCTATTCTCAATTCCTGACAGGCAAGAGCCCTCACTCCAATCTCTTTGTAGCCCCTGCTGGACCCAGCAGACTGCTTTGCATGTAAAAAGTCCTCAGTAAATGCTTACTGAATTAAATTGCTATGATTGTCGTCTCCCAACACTTAAGGAGGCCTTGGAACCACAGAGATGCTCAAGAGACATCAGTCTTGGGAGGCCTGGGTGGACAGATCACTTGAAATCAGGAGTTTGAGACCAGCCTGGCCAACATGGCAAATCCCATCTCTACCAAGAAATACAAAAATTAGTTGGGCATGGTGGTGCATGCCTATAGTCCTAGCTACTCAGGAGGTTGAGATGGAAGAATCACTTGAACCCAGGAGGTGGAGGCTGCAGTGAGCTGAGATTGTGCCCCTGCACTCCAGCCTGGGTAACAGAGACCCTGTCTCAAAAATAGAAAATAAAAATAAAAAGACATCGGTCAAGGGACACAACTGCAAACATCATGGATAAGAACCCCAAGTCACTAGTTAATGAGTTAATGAGATTTTTGGATGGACAACCCTGTCCCCAGGCTTACTTGGCAAGATAAACTGGAAATTTCAGATATGTTTTTCCAAAATTCATCTGGTTAATTTTAAAAACACTGTTTTGGACTTCATTTTGAGCATCCTTGTCTCAACTGTATCCTTTCATAATAGCACTCTGACTCTACGGCATAATTACAGTTCAGAAATCCCCCAATTTTTTTCCCCAAGTCAAAATGTCAACCATGTCACCTCACCTGTACTTTGTCAATCCCTGCTCTAAACAATCACAGCTAGATTATATTCACTCTGTGATTGTATTCACTCTAACATGACATGCCACATATTAAATTACCCTTCAAATGAAGAGAGGGTGAAAGCTCTATTGCAGGAACATACCAAAAAGTAAAAAGAAGTATGGTCTAATGATTTGTGTCAACATTTAAAACATTTCACAAATACCAAAGTTTAGGACCACCTCTCATACATCATCATGGAATAAGAGAGATGAATATTTGCATTTCATCTTTGCAAAAGTTATGTGATATGCTAATGACAACATTTAAAATGTTGCCAGTGGTAAAAGTACAGGTTTAAATCCCCAACAGGAGCATATAATAACTACTGGCCAGAAGTATAATTTGTGGTGAGGACATAAGAACATAGAACATGGAGGAAAAAATTCTCCAAAGCAAATTATCCTTCACTGTCATCTGAAAAATATGGATGAAAGGGTCAGTTCTTCCAGTCTCCTGTAAATTGAGACTTTGAAATGTGAATCCATGGCCATTTGATCCATTTAATTTTTTTAAGAGAGGTAAGCAGATAGTTCCCTAAGGGAAGAATTTTCTTTTTTTAATAAGGCTGTGGAAAGCACTGCAATGCTCATATTCATGCTCACCAGCCATGGTAATTTCTGAAATCTCATGAGAAGCCAGTGTTCTTCTATTGATTAGAAAAGTCACCTCCAATGACACTGCATATAATTATTCTTTATGGATGAAAAAAAAGATCAGTCAACATCAGTGAATAAATGAAAAAGCAATGGGTAACCAACAGCGACATTCACACGGCTCATACACAAAGCTTTTTTGTTTTGTTTTGTTTTTTGTTTTTATAGATGGAGTCTCACTCTGTTGCCCAGGCTGGAGTGCAGTGGCACGATCTGGGCTCACTGCAACCTCCATCTCCTGGGTTTAAGTGATTCTCCTGCCTCAGCCTCCCAAATAGCTGAGGCTACGGGCATGTGCCATCATGCCTGACTAATATTTTGTGTTTTTAGTAGCGACAGGATTTCACCATGCTGGCCAGGCTGGTCTGGAACTCCTAACCTCAGGTAATCCATCCACCTCGGCCTCCGAAAGTGCTGGGATTACACGCGTGAACCAGCACACCTGGCCCAAAGCCTGTAGTTTAAAAGAGAAATTATTGATTGCAGTGTGAGGAAGAGGAGCCCATGGAAGGGCTGTGAACCCCATAACATGGTAAGTACACAGTTTGTTACTTGTAGCCCTGAGGCTGTCTTACTTATCGGTGTACTGCATTTCTTTCTGACTCCCTATCTTCAGAATGTACATGCCAGGAGACTGGGGAACTTACCTGTCTTCTGCCCTTCTCTATTCCTTGCTCCAGATCAGTACCTAACACAGAATTAGCTCCCTATAAATATTCGTCGAAAGAATGAAAGGAAGGAAGGTGAGAGGGAGGGAGAGAAGGAAGGAAGGAAGGAGGAAAGCATGACTGAAAGAAAAAAAGAACAAAAATATGCAAAACATGTATGTTTTCTGGGCAGAAAGTTCCTAACTTTTTTTTTTAATGCTCAAAGGGATCTGTGACTCAAAAAAAAAAATTAGGAACAGGCGCGGCAGTTCACACCTGTAATCCCACCACTTTGGAAGCCCGAGGTGGACGGATCGCCTGAGGTCAGGAATTCGAGACCAGTCTGGTCAACATGGTGAAACCCCGTCTCTACTAAAAATACAAAAAAATTAGCCGGATATGGTGGCATGCACCTGTAATCCCAGCTACTCGGGAGACTGAGGCAGGGGAATTGCTTGAGCCTAGGGAGGTGGAGGTTGCAGTGAGCCTAGATCAGGCGTCCCCAAACTACGACCCGTGGGCCGCATGCAGCCCCCTGAGGCCATTTATCCGGCCCCCCGCCACACTTCAGGAAGGGGCACCTCTTTCATTGGTGGTCAGTGAGAGGAGCACAGTATGTGGCAGCCCTCCAATGGTCTGAGGGACAGTGAACTGGCCCCCTGTGTAAAAAGTCTGGGGATGCCTGGCCTAGATCATGCCACTGCACTCCAGCCTGGGCAGCAGAGAGAGACTCCATCTCAAAAAAAAAAAAATTAGGAATGACTGCCTTTCAACTATAAAAGCTGCCTCTCATGATCTCCTCTGCTCTTTTGCTCACAAGACACCCTGTTCCTGATTACATATCAAAATAGTCATCATGGTTTGCCAGAAATCTATAATGATGTTATATCATTTGAAAAGTGTCTCAATATGTTTTTACAGCTTTAGAGAATTTCTTCTGCCTGCTCAACTTACAGTTGCCATTCTGCAGGCATCCATTTGGCCACCTCTTAGATGCCATGCCATTTATTTATTTTTTGTTAAGTCTCGCCAAGCAGAGTTATACTAAGAAGTATTTTAAGATATTGAAAAAATGAAGTATAATTTTGTGGCATTTTTGTCTCTGTTTTAGAAGAATAAAACTCTTGCCTCTGTATATATGACCTTTAAATTAACCTTTAAACCCCGTTTTCATAAGTCTTTATAAATTGTGTGGCAACCGTTTTCACAGATGGCCTCCCAGTGAACTGTGCCTTCCAATATTCACACCCTTCTACGTCACCCTCCCGAGTCTGGGCCGGCTCTGTGACTCACTTTTCACAAGACTCTGGAGGAGGTGATGCTGAGCGATTTCTAAGGCTAGATTATAAGTGTTGCAGCTTCCACCTGGGCCTCTGAAATACTTAGCACACTCCCGCCAGGAACTCAGGTGCCATCTTGAAAGAAACACAAGACTCATGGAGAGGCCACAGGTAGCTGGTCTGGATGACAACCTCAGCTGAGTCCTCAGCCAATAGCCAGCATTCACTGCTATTGGGCATCCTGATTGTCCAGCACAGTTAAGTCTTCAGATGCCTCCAGCCCAAGCTGTGTGACCCCACAAGAAATCCCAAATGAGGATATCTCAGGTGAGCTCATTCAACCCCATGGAACCATGAAAGTCATAACAAATTGCTGTGTTATGCTTTTGAGCTTAGGGTGGTTTGTTACACACCTGCAGACAACTGGAATG